GTGAACACTGCCAGGGTTGGGGCAGCCACAGCCTCCCTGGGCAACCTGGGACAGTGTCTCAGCACCCACACAGGGAAAAACTGCTTCCTAATATCTAGCATAAATTCACCCTCCTTCAATTTGAACCCATTACCCCTTGTCCTGTCCCTGCAGCTCCTAACACAGAGTCCCTCTGCAGCTTCCTTGGAGCCACTTGAGCTCCTGGAAGTTGCTCTGAGGTCTCCACACAACCTTCTCTTCTCCAGGCTGAACAGCCCCAACTCCCTCAGCCTGTCCTCACAGGGGAGATGCTCCAGTCCTCTTAGCAACTTTGTGGCCTCCTCTGGACTTGCTCCTACATTGCCCCGTCCTTCTTACACTGAGGACACCAGAACTGTGTTCAGTATTCCAGGTGGGTCCCAGGAGAGCAGAGTAGCAGGGATTAGAGAGGAGCATCACAGAGGACTATAGAGGTTGCTTGCAGAAGAATGGCCTCTGTTACTGGAGTCACTATTTTACCTCTGGGTCATTATTGTCACCTGCAGCATTAAGTATTTTTCTCTTCAGTACACCCTCCTTATAATAAAGCAGGACTTCTAAATGGTATGAGGCTTTGAGTTTGACAGAAATTGAACTGACAGGCCTTACCTGCTTATCCTCCACCCACAGTGCTGAGCATTTACACACGTTATCTTTTTGTTCATGGATAATGATTCCAAAGTATAGAATGTGGAGGCTGCCAGCTGTTGTTGCTCTCTCCTGCAAAGCAGAGAGCACCATCCTTTCCAGCCCACCTTACCTCTGTTCTTTCCATTAATGTCAGCAGGTATCACATTATGCAGAGGACAGTTCCTGACTGCAACCTGAAATCAGAGAGAGTCTGCAAAGTCCAGCAAGTTTCTCTGAGGAAAAATGGGGATAATATTGGTCAGGCTAGGAAGCCATGATTAGGTGGGAAAGGTCTTGAAAGGCAGTAAGTATTGATATTGCCTGGGAGGAACTTTGCACAAAGTCACTCAAAAGGCAAGTGATAGAGCTGGGATAAGGTTTGTCTGTAGACACACAGTTAAGTGCTCTCTCATAGGATCTGCTGATATAAAATACAAGAGAGACTCTGTGTTAGGAGCTGCAGGGACAGGACAAGGGGCAATGGGGACAAATTGAAGGAGGGAAATTTAGGGTAGATCTTAGGCAGAAGTTTTCCCTGTGAGGGTGGTGAGACACTGGCCCAGGTTGCCCAGGGAGGCTGTGGCTGCCCCAGTTCACAGCCAGGTTGGATGAAGCCTTGAGCAACCTGGTGTGGTGGGAGGTGTCCCTGTTCAGGGCAGGGGTTGGGGCTGGATGATCTTTTCTTTAAGGTCCAACCCTTAAATTCTGTGATTCCATGAGTTATACAAAGAAATGGCTAATACAACTCTGATTGACCTTTCTTTTATTAGCATATTTTATATTCATACTTTACAATATAATAAGTTATATATACAGCATTAAACAAAAATTATTAGAAAGTAAGCTTTGGCAAGATCTACAGGATATTTTTTTCCCGTTCCTGTACATCTTTTGTGTAACAATAAAAATACTGTAATGAGTTATACAAAGAAATGGCTAATACAACTCTGATTGACCTTTCTTTTATTAGCATATTTTATATTCATACTTTACAATATAATAAGTTATATATACAGCATTAAACAAAAATTATTAGAAAGTAAGCTTTGGCAAGATCTACAGGATATTTTTTTCCCGTTCCTGTACATCTTTTGTGTAACAATAAAAATACTGTATACTAAATAAAATAATGTTAAATAGTCTGTGTTCACATTGGCACCATCAGTTTCAAGCCCCTAACTTTTCATGGCCCAATAAACAGAAAAAAAGAGGATTCCTCTATCATCCTTATCTTCTTTTAAACCAATAAATGATGTGTGTGATGAAATGTCCACCAAATAACACTGTAGCTACACACTGGCACAAGAAAAATATAGAATCTTTGTGTTCTCTGGTTTGTTCCTTTCTTTTTTCTTCTTTAAAATTCTAGTAGCAATAGCAAAAATTACAAAATCAGGGCCTTGAAAAATCTTGCTGAAAATTGCTGAGATGTCAACAGATCTAGAAATCTTGGTGAAGGCTGTTGAAGTCTGCATGAACTGGTCACTGATTTCAAGACAGGAAGAATTTCACTCCCAAACTCAACATCAATCAGTGAGTTAAAAGCTCCAACAAATGCAGCTTGCTGTTCTGTTAGAAAAGTGTCAAAATTCCCCTCAAATTTGGCATATGCAAAGCAATGAAGAGTGTGTTGTGACACAAAAGGGTGGAAGAAGAACAATGAGAGGGAGAGGTTTTATGTTGCAGTATGTACTTCCTCTGCTGTACAAACCACGTGCTGAAAAGACACTAAATGGAGGTGTTAAAGTGCCATACTAAATGTTTTGCATAGTACTATAATGGTACTAACTTATAGTTACTAAATGATGGAATATTGGCTTTAAATTCAGGGTAATAGCATCAATTAATTAATTAATTAATTCTGGTGGCATTTTGTTCAGTCATGCCCTTTGGGATTGGAGAGCATTGGCTGCACTTGGTGAAATCTGCCATCACTATTTCAGCTAGAAATTAGGCAAATTAGGCAAACAGGTTGGGTAACAGATACTGTCATGTGGTCTGAATGGGTTTTAGGGAAATTTCAACCATGAAAATCAGAAATCAGTCAAAAGAGAAAAAAATAAGGTCAGTTTTTGCTCTATGCAACCTCACAATGATGCTTCACATTCCATCTGAGTTTGTTGGCTGCACTCATGGTCTAGGCTTACAAGAGTATATATAGAGCATTAAAAACCCCATTTTTTTTCCCTCTGCATTTCAAATGTCTCTAAAGAAATCTACTCGTTTTGCTCTTCACTTTACGTGTGTACCACTGTTGGCTGAAATGCCTCTGTTTGAAATAGAATTTGATACATAGATGTCACTACTGGAAAAGTTTCTTTTTCATGGGAATGGACAAGGTGGTTTGGGGGTTTTTTTTGGTAACAGCAAAGAAGAGAAGAACATGTTGCTCAACTTGCAAGGAGTGACTGCCAAATTTTCCTGCCCACTTGCCTAAAGAGCTTGTCCTCAGCAAGTCAGCAGTTTGAATTTATCACTCCTGAAATGTCAGTATGGACCAAGAGTGCATTCCAGTGCCTTATGTACATTGTTCTGATGCACTTCCATCTGAAAATCATATTGACTCTGTTTTCATCTAGTATAGTTAGTTAATCTGAGGACTGTGCATATACACCTATGCACATACTTCTAGATTCAACAAACCCATGGTAAGTGTAGAAAATACTTTTGGATTCAACAAACCCATAGTAAGTGCAGAAAATACTTCTAGATTCAACAAACCCATGGTAAGTGTAGAAAATACTTTTAGATTCAACAAACCCATAGTAAGTGTAGAAAATGAACTTGGAGCAGATAGCAATGTATGTGCCTAATGTGTATTCACTGAATCTGTAGTTGTGGTGCTGCTTCTGACTGTAACTATGAAACTATTACAGCATTGAATGAAGCCCTAAGAGACAGGATTATTTCCAGAGAGCTATTCAATGCCTTTCTTGAAGGCCAGGCAGGAAGGGCATCAGCAGAGTTATCTGCTCTTACACACAGGTTGCAAAATGGACGTTTGTGTGGCCACTTACCAACTGTTTAACATGATCATTTCTTTAATGACATGTCTCATACCAAGTTTCTTGGGAGATTTCTCCTCTTGTTTTGGTAGATGTGTAACTTCACTTCTCTTAGAAGTCAAAGGGAAGAGCTTCCCATTGGTTATCGGAGTGATTATGGAAAAGAAACATCAAAGGTCTTTTGTCCAAAGTCTTTGGCGTGGTGCTTGCTGGCATCATGTTTCTTTGGGGTGATGTGGAAGTCTGAGTCCCAGACAGGCATGTCAGGATGTCCCTGCTGGTTCAGGAGCTGGCATGGCTTGTGCCCACTCCAGAATATCTGCACACAAGGATTCCACAGCATCCAGTCGCTCGATTTGCACCAGTTTGGTCAGCAGTTCTGGGATGCTGTAACCTGCTGTGCTGATGCGGTCAAACAGCTGCATTCCATCTGTCATCCCACCTATCTCATCCCTCTTCAGTCCAAAGCTCTCGGCAAGGTGGCGCCATGTCTTCACTATGGCTTTCTCTGTGTTGTAGGTGGAGCTGAGCATCCTGCTGGTCTTCTCCAGGCAGTCAAACGGCAGCTCCGTAGGGCTCAGACCTGCCGAGGGAGGGATGTGTTGACACAGTACATACTGACAGCAAAGAACACACCTAAAATCTCTAAGTGATAGTCCATGATGGGTATGTCTAGCTCCAAAGTTATTACTGTATAGTACTGAATTAATTCTTCCTGGTGACAGCAGGGTGCAATAATGAGGATAAGATATTGCCCCAGAAAGAGGTATTTGATGGGTTGTATGAATTCCCATGGCTCTGCCCCTTCCTTCAACAGTTTACTAGCTGTTAGAAAAAGGATATTGCAACAGTATCCCTAGTGAGCAGCCCCATTAATCCACCTCTGCACGCCAGGCACAGTGTTTGAGCTTGAGAGACAGCTTTGACCCTTCCCTGAGACTGTCACCAGCAGCTGCTGAAGCATCGCTGTAATTGAAAGTTGCCCTTGTAGGAAAGTGAGAAGTGAGGTGAAGAAATGATGCCAGATGCAAGCATAAAAATCCCTGCAAGTGCTCAACTGTCATTACTATCACTGAATCTCTAGAGAGGATTTAACATTCATCCTGTGGGGGAAAAGGTGTTTTTTTTCTGGACATATTTTGTGTGTATTCATGGTCAGAGAATGGAGGAAAGAATCAGCTACACCATTTTTTTCCAAACCAGCCTTTTGCTTCTGTTGTTTCTCTTGCTTCATAGTCAACAGCAGTAAATTGCTGGGAGACTGAGCTCCCTGAATTACAGAGTACTCATCCATGGGCACACAAAATGTGGGTGTGGTGGGAAGTAAGTGCAGCCACTGTTCTGCAGGAAAATTAATTCATGTCTCTTCTGCTGAAACAGTTCAGACAGTCAAGTGCTAAATAGGGTTAAAACACTTCAAACTTGGTAACTCTACTCTTTGCTGTGAGAGATGTGACAGCATTTAGAGAAGCAGAGTAGGCTGAGACTTGGGTCTTACCCTCTATCCTGACCCTCCCCAAATCACACTTTCATATTTGGAATTAGTTTCTGTTATCCAAGGAAATAAAGAAGTAAATCAAACAGGTTTCCTCTAGATGGGGAATGCCAGACTGCTTCTTTACACCTTGGGGTGTGTGTGTCCCAACCCTCTCTGCTCTGTGTGTGTCCCAAACCTTCCTGCTCTGTGTGAGTGTCCCAACCCTCCCTGATCTGTGTGTGTCCCAAACCTTCCTGCTCTGTGTGTGTGTCCCAACCCTTCCTGCTCTCCACAGGAAGGAAGCCCAAGCACATGCCTGGAGAGAGGCCTTGACATGCTCTAGCCCAAGCCCAGCCTGGACAGCTCTGGGGTCAAGGCACCACGAGGCTTCCTGGCAAGTGTGTCCAAATCAGCCTACAGAGCCTTGTCTGGAATGGGACTATTCTCCATAGGAAGGCAGAGGCATTTCTTGTTTTAAAGCAAAATTTGTGATCTAATCTCATGCTGTTAGTATAGCAGCAAGTTTTGTGCACTCACCTTCTGCAACGTCGCAGACGTTCGCGTACACGTCAAGTATCTTTTTCCTTCGACTTTGAATCTAAATGAGAAGAGTTGCAGCTCATTAATTTTTCAGTCAGTCAGTCATTTTCATCAGCTTTTCAGAGCAAACAGACAGCAGGCAGCAGTGGAAAACCTGTTGAACACCTTCATCTCATGGTGCTAGGGGTGATCATGTAGTGTCCTCAAGGGTCTCTTTTGAAGACTCAAAGAAAACACCACAGCAATTCTTCCATGAGGCATAAAACCTATTTCTGATTTCACTTTCACTGCTAGAGAACTTTCCAACTTCCAGTCTTCTTTTTTTAGAGCAATTACTTTTCTGCCCCAAGTGTTTGTATATTTTATTTCTCTTTCAGACTGAAGCAAACTCTTGATGAAGAGGACAAATCCAGTACCGTGCATGGAGACAATTAATGCAAACCAGGTAGGGCAGGGCTGGCTGCAGGGGGTTAAATTCAGACTTAAATTGCCTTCCTCCAGTAATCTAAGAGGTCTGTAGAGGAGGGAATGGTCCTTTCTGTCATTTGATGTAGAACTGCTTAGTGCATTACTAATTAACTGTATTTGCTTCCACGATATATTGTCTGGTTAAATCTGAAACATTCTACAGATAGAAGAAAACCCCCAATAAATCAGTGAATCTTTGGACAGGAAAAAATCTGAGGTCAAGTCATTTTTGACAAGAAAGAGACTGAAACCCTGACATTTTTCAGGCTAAAAATGGACATTTTTAAAGAGTTTCATTTAGCAAAAGTATTTTCCCAGTCTGGCTTAGGATTCAGTGTGGAGTGAAAACAAATGTCAAAATGTCATGAGTTCTTAGGGACTGGAATTGTCTTCCCTGTGCCAGCTCTCATTAGGACTGAGTTTTCTGAAAGGTTGTCTTGATGGGACTCTAACATTATCTCCACAAACCTGTCACTTTTCACTTCAAACCAGGCTAGAAAAAAAAGCTCTGCTTTCAGTATTTTGTTTCGTGGGAAGATTTTGCTCATTTTCTTTGGGCTCTAAAGGGCAAGGCACATCAATGACTCGGATGAATAGACTTGCAGCTGGACAGAGTGGCTGCTCCACCCAGAACTTGTCCTGCAGGAGTAGTGTGAGTGCATCACATCCCAGGGCAGCACAATGCAGGCACTGAGTGCTGTTCACATATTCTGGGGATAATTTACATGTGTTTATTCTCATGGTGCTGTTGTAAGCTTGGATTAGCTGGTTTAGAGCCTTGTAAACAGGAAAATTAATGGGATTTATTAAAACTCCTCCTAAGCAAACTATTGAATGCTTATTTTCATTCTCCCCTCACTTTTAGGGCAAAGAGGGAGGTTCTGTAGTTCCATGCCCATGAGGAATTATGCAGGATACTCTTTCACCAGATCCAGAAGATGGGGGATTTGTAAAGAATATGCTGAAAGTAAACAGGTAATGTTTAGCCTGATGACGCTCTGTGTGGCAGCTCATTGAAAATGGATTTTAACTAGGCAGAAACAGACTTAAGACCAAGTTTATTTCTTTATTCTTGTCCTATAGCTACTGAATACTCTCCCAGAAAGCCAATGGAATCCTGGGCTGCATCAAGAGGAGTGTGCCCAGCAGGTCAAAAGAGGTGATTCTTCTCATCTACTCTGCTCTCCTGAGACCCACCTGGAATACTGCACACAGTTCTGGTGTCCTCAGCATAAGAAGGACATGGAACTGTTGGAGCAAGTCCAGAGGAGGCCACAAAGTTGATAAGAGGACTGGAGCATCTCCCCTCTGAGGACAGGCTGAGGGAGTTGGAGCTGTTGAGCCTGGAGAAGAGAAGGTTGTGTGGAGACCTCAGAGCAACTTTTCAGTATCTGAAGGGTCTACAAGGAGCTGGAGAGGGACTCTGTGTTAGGAACTGCAGTGACAGGACAAGGGGCAAAGGCTTCAAACTGAGGGAAGGAAAGTCTGGGTTGGATGTGAGAAAAAAGTTTTTCCCTGTGAGGGTGGTGAGACACTGGCACAGGTTGCCCAGGGAGGCTGTGGCTGCCCCAGCCCTGGCAGTGTTCACAGCCAGGTTGGATGAGCCTTGAGCAACCTGCTCTGGTGGGAGGTGTCCCTGCCCAGGGCAGGGGTTGGGACCGGATGTTCTGTAAGATCCATTCCAACCCTTACATTCTATGATTCTGTGATTCTCTGAATCAAATTGCTGCTTTTTGAACTTCTTGCAACTGGCTTAGTTGTGACATCTTAGGTATGGAGTGGAGGATCTTGATGCAATCCACACTTTCACTGAGCTCTGTCAGCAGGCTTCAGTCCATGAGAACTGTTAGAACAGAAGGTCTGGAAGAAATGGTTCATGCTTCAGGTGTGCTTATGATCTTGCTAGCTAAATGACTCTGAAGAATGTGTCTGTTAGAGATGGTCCATAGAGGATAATCTGTTTCTTTTTAAATGTTCTGATTTCATGCCTACCCAAGTTGTATTATCCTATTTTAAGCCACTGCTCACAGAAGTATCATAAAGCTGGGTATTTAGAGAGACTTGAATTTTAAAACGTGAACATTGGGGTCGTAAACTAAGATTGGATGTGAGGAGAAATGTTTTCCCTGTGAGGGAGTTGAGGCACTGGGATATTGCCCAGGGAGGTGGTGGAGTCACCATCCCTGGAGGTGTTGAAGAGGCATCTGGATCTGACACTGGAGGATCTGGTTTAGGGTTTAGGGGTTCCAGCAGTGACAGGTTAATGGTTGGAACTGATGATCTTAGAGGTCTCCTCCAACCTTGATGATTCTATGATTCTAAGTTATTTTCAGATGGTCATAACTGTTTACAACTGCAAAACCATTTCCGCTCTGTTGAGACTTTGTGTGTCTCATCTCAGCTGAGCTGTTTTAGAAAGTTTGAGCTGAACCATCCCAACAATTTAAAACATGTAAACATGGTAAGCTGCATTTTTGAACCTTTTTATTCTTCAACAATATCTGATGTTTGATGTGATTTCTTCCTTGCTATTGCCCTTTTAAAATTAATTTGAAGTATTAAGAATATATATGAGCAGGCACCATTTTAGGGATAGTTTCATGTCAACACAAACTAAAAGGTTGTGTGGGTGAGGTGTGGCCTTAACTATGCCTTAAAATACTCCAAGTGAGATAAAAAGCCCCAGGCAGCACATGCTCAGCAGGAGGAAGTAAAGACCTTCCACAGGAAAACAAACAGTGGATTACAGTGTCCTTCAGAGCACAGGGATGACCTTCAAAGCATGTGTGTGTTTGCCAGAATTACACATGACAACCAAGCCCAACACCGGATATTATTGAGAAGTCTGTGCTGTGGAGACCCCAGTGCTGCTGGGTCAAGGTGTTCAGATGTTAAACTGTCAGCTGAATTAGGCCATGGGGCTACATCATTTTACTGTCTTTCATCTTTCATGGTAAATCACAGAATCAGTTAGGTTGGAAGAGTAAATCACTGAATCAGTTAGGTTGGAAGGGACCACAATGGTCATCTGGTCCCACCTCCCTACTCCAGCAGGACCACCCTAGAGCACATGGTTCAGGGTTGGGCCTGATGGTTCTGGAATATCTCCAGTGAGGGAGAATCCACAACCTCTCTGGGCAATCTGTTCAGTGCTCAGTGACCGCACAGGAAAGAAATTCTCCCTCATGATCAGGTGGAACTTGCTGGGCATCAGTTTTTGCTGTTTCCTCTTGTTTTTTTGGATTCCACAGGTGAGAAGAGCCTGATCCATCCTCTTGGCACTTCCCATTCATGGACTTGAATCCATTACTGAGGTCAATGTAGCATTTGTGCTAGTTATAGTAGCATTAGCTGTAACAGGGAGTTGCTATTATTTGGTGTTGTCTTTCTTTAGACTATAACATAATACTCAAAAAAGCAAAGTTATTACACTGGTAGGAAATTTGGGTTTCATCCCTGAATAGTATGCATGTACCTAGATGCCATTATGCAAAGGAGATTCTATAGGAAATTTGTCTGGAGAAGCTCTCCTCAGTCTGGTCTGCACCATAAAGCTTTTGGGGGGGGTGATAGTTTGTCTTTTTTTTTTTCATAAAAAAAGAACACAGAAAAATACTCTCAATTCTTAAATCTCCAAAGAGACTTACCCCAGTTGATTTATTGCTTGTAGAAGATTTATCTCTGGCCAAGTGCACTAAAGATAACAAGCATCTCTCTGGAGTTCCTTGCTTGTCAACAGCAGCTTCTTCGTCGCTGTCCATGCTGCGGCTCAGAAGTCTTTCGTTCTCCGACGACGCATCATTCTCACTGTGGAAGGAAGGATATGGTTATCTGAGTGAAGCCTCTCATGGGTTGACTCCAGTCATCTCTTTTCTATCTGAGAGTAGTTGATTAGAAGTGTCTTCCCATTTTTTAAAAGGCCTTTCCTCCAAAATCATCTGATTGTAAAACATCCACCAGCCCAAAGGGTATGTCCAATGCCCAATGACTTACACAGTCACACAGAGCGTGCAAGAATCCTTTTACAGAATGACAGATCCATCAAGATTAGAGAAGACCTTCAAGATCATCGAGTCCAACCATTAACCTGTCACTGCTGGAACCCCTAAACCCTAAACCAGATCCTCCAGTGCCAGATCCAGATGCCTTTTCAACACCTCCAGGGATGGTGACTCCACCACCTCCCTGGGCAAGATCCCAGTGCCTCAACACCCTCACAGGGAAAACATTTCTCCTCACATCTAGTCTGACTCTGCCCTGTCACAGCTTATGACTGTTCCCTCCAGGAATGGATTCCCAGAGGGATTTTCCAGTTGAGGACAGTGTTTAGCCCACCTTAATTGTCTGACCTGGGCAGGTTTGGCCACCAGGCAGAGACAAGGTGAGGAAAACTATCACACTGTGTCATCCAGATGATGCCACAGACAAGGGTTTCATTAAGGCCTGTAGCAGCTATTTTTACCCTGCCTACCAAGAGGGGAAGGGGAACCTTACTAAGCAAGAGCTAAATTCAGATTCCAAAAATGAACCTCTCCAAAGAGGAGATGGAGCCCCAAGAGCTGAAAATGGGTCACAGAGGGAGTGGAGAGGACACTAGTTTCGCTGTGGTGATGTCTGCCATCGTCTCTCAGAAACCAGAGAGGGAAAACTCTGCTAAGGCATTTGGACTTTTCCAATGTGCTGCAGCATATCCACCTGATCTGTTCATGTGTTCTGCTGTACCAGGGAGAATGGTGACTATGTCCCTCCCCCACTTTAGTCAAACTGGAAGTATGCTTATGTTTTACCAACCTTTTGACAGCCTTAGCCGGAGTTGCTGTAAGTTTCTCAAACTCTTCTTTCTCAGAGAATATTACAACATTATCTGTGGATCAACAATTAGAGAAACTTCAGTTGGCAATGGGTTTCCAAACCAGTGCTTTGTGCCAGGAGCTGGTTCTACTGCAACCTTACTGCAAACATAATTCTCTCTCCTACCTATTTAATAGATATCAGAGGATTAAGTGACATTTCAGAGGTACAAAAAGCTATTACAGACCATTCTTTAATAAATAGATATGTATTTTATACAATTCAAAGGAGAAATTTGGATTAGGAGAAATTGTAATTAAGAGGAACGTATTAAGAATATTTAAGTCCAGTGTTGTCTTGGATAGAAAAAGCAAAACTAAAACAGTTAATACCTTGTACTTCTTTCTTCTCTTCCTGTGTGTTAGCCTGAGCTTCCACATTTTTCACTGAGTGGCTCTTGCAACAGGCTAGAATATAAAAACACCACATTAATTATTCTCAGGAGCTACGTTGAAAATATCATGTGCAGCTTAAAATTTCACCCACTGAACAATTACCTTGAGCAGAAGGTTTGGTTTTCACGATGTAAAACATGATGATGAGGACAATGGCAATAGCCATGATGAAGATGGTAGACATGGCAATGATAAGAGCTGTAGCCAGGTGACCTTGTCCTGAAAGATCTGCTGGAATAGAAGAATTTTCATAGAGGAACAACTTTTAGGAACAGAAAATAGATTGCAGTCTGCTCTACACTTCTATTTTGCATAGTCATTTAGTTAATCTTAGGCTGAGGGAGTTGGGGCTGTTGAGCCTGGAGAAGAGAAGGTTGTGTAGAGACCTCAGAGCAACTTTTCAATCTCTGAAGGGCCTACAAAGAGCCAGAGAGGGACTCTGTGTTAGGAACTGCAGTGATAGGACAAGGGGTAATGTGTTCTAACTGAAGGAGGGAAAGTCTGGGTTGGATGGGAGAAAAAATTTTTTTCCTGTGAGGGTGGTGAGACACTGGCACAGTTAAGGGTATCCATTAAAAATGTTTGATGCCATGACACATGGGATGCAAAGATGCAGGGAATAATATGCAAGCAACAGTAGCAGCATTCCTAACATTGTAGTCTGGGAAACATCATTGAAAAGGAAGGGAAAAAGTAAATATACAAAGGAGAGGAGAGCTAAAATGACTGTTGATAACTATGGTTGCCTCTAAAGCTCTGCAGTTCAAAGGAGAGCACAATGCACACGCAGAAGTGATGTTTTTCTAACAGTGACTTAAAACACAGCGTGGCTAGAAGGGGAATTTAAAATAAGCTGTGTAAAAAGGTACTCAGAAATAGAATTTGGATGAGAAAGACTAGAATTGGAAAGGCACAAAAGGATGCAGAAAATGACAGATATGCTAAAGTGCATGGAAACTTGAATTTTCTGAAGACCCAATCCTCACAATCCTGTTTTCAGACAATACCAAGAAGATCAGCACTGTCAGTGCCTCATTAACTGCATCTTTCCTGTTGTGTCTTCTCGGGTTCACACATTTTAAAAACTAATAACCATGCTGGAGAACTGTTTCTGTGAACTCAATAAAAGCCTAACCATATTTGTGCATTGAATTTTTTCACCACTCTGAGCTAAGCTATGCTGAGGCAGTGTCACTTCTGTAGAGCTGCAGATAATGAGCTCCATTTATTGCTGGCACTCCTGAGTACAGTTCAAATCCATTTCATGTTCATCTGGCTAACACTAACACTGTTTATCAACTGAGAAATAAAGATTAATTCTGGAGTATTTTTAATGGCAGTTTTAGAAACCCGGAAATAGAGAAAATGAAATGAAAACTACAATAGATGTTTGCAGTTTGGTTGCACTTTGTTGATGTGCTTTCCAAAATAAACAGCTGCTAAATTAACCCTGTGAATGCATTCTTACCTTTGTGAGCATGCTGGTAGGGTGAGAAAGTGCTTGTGCCAGAGGTACTTGGGAAGATGGCTGAAATGCCAGAGTTAGCCCCTGCACCTGCAAAATAAACAATGCCATAAAATTCCATGGTTACAGGCACGGGAATGTGTTGGCTCATGTAAAGAGAACCTTTACTTTGCTCAGATGCATTCAGAGATTCCTAGAACCATCAAGGTTGGAGGAGACCTCAAAGAGCATCAGGTCCAACAATTAACCTGTCACTGCTGGAACCCCTAAACCCTAAACCAGATCCTCCAGTGTCAGATCCAGATGCCTCTTCAACACCTCCAGGGATGGTGACTCCACCACCTCCCTGGGCAATATCCCAGTGCCTCAACACCACAACAGGGAAAACATTTCTCCTCACATCCAATCTGACTCTGCCCTGGCTCAGCTCAAGGCCATTCCCTCTAGTCCTCTCCCTGCAGCCATGGCAGGACACACATCCCTCACCTCTCTCCAACCCTGGCAGGGAGTTGCAGAGAGCCAGGAGGTCACCCCTGAGCCTCTTCTCCAGGCTAAACAAACCCAACTCCCTCAGCCCTTCCTCATCCCACATGTTTTCCAGCCCTTTGCTGCCCTCGTTGCCCTTGGCTGGACTCGCTCCAGTGCCTCAATGGCCTTTGGGCAGTGAGTGCCCAAAGCTGAGCACAGCACTGAGCTGGGACCTCCCCAGTGCCCAGTGCAGGAGGATGAGCACTGCCCTAGTCCTGCTGCCACACTCGCTAGGCTAAGATGCCCTTGGCCTCCTTGGCCTTTGGATAAGGCTGTTGATGGGAATGCTTTCATACAGGATGGTGTTGGTATAGCATTCCAAACCAGAACAAAACTATTAGGGTTGGGAGTAAACATTCTCTTCCTTCTCCAATAAACTTTAATGCCATTGGTGAGCAGGTAGTGCAAACAGCTGCTGTCAACAGACACTGTCTTGGGCAGGGTATAAAATCCCTCCTGCTTTGGATTAGCTGTCTGTGGAAAAAGTCCAGTGATAAATTCAGCAGACCTAAAGGCAAAAAATTGTCCCAGTCATCTGGTAAGGTGAGCACAGCACATGGCTCCAAAAACTAGTTTGGCAACTAGAGTAGATGAGAGCTCACCATTGCCCTTTTTTTGACCAAGAAATGAAACCCACCAGGTAAAGCTGACAGGAAATTAAGTGCTCTGGACCAGCCTGAGAAATGTTCCGTGGTTAAGTACAAAGCAATACACACATTCTTCAAATGAAGATAAATATTTTTTTTAAAGGAAAACAATATATTACCTACCATAAAACATAGCTGCATGTAGTGAATAAGAAATGTACACTTAAAGTGGCCACAAAGTATGAGTTGCAGATGTCTTCTAAAGAAATTCTCTTTAACAATGGTAAAACTTTTTTCAAACATCACTTGTTGGAAAGAAATTGATTTGTTTATTATAACTGGGATATTTGCAAACTGAATAAGTGTTTTCATGAAGTTTTAAATATACCAATTTATAAATTCAGGTGTTTTTCAGATTATGCAAATGATGGCCAGATTGAGTCTTGTCTCAGCTGCTTTTGCCATCACAGACTTCCTTCTAAGAATCAGTCATGAGCTCCAAAATCTGCAATGCAGCACAAGACCATCTAGATATCAGTAGATGTTGGTTTCATCTGCATGCAGAGAGTATTAAAGACAGGTAACATGTAAAATTTTCAGCTGTTCTTCATATAACTGAAGTGAATCATCCTTGGTCGTGGCCTCTGTGTTTACTCATCATGGCTGGAAATCTAGGAAATGGCCAGTGCTGTATCCTGGTACTTTTCTTTATGTCCACAGCTACCAGGCTTCTGCCTGTTCTTGCAGTTCCTCTGGCAAATCCAATTACAGCCAACTGTAATTCTGCAAGGTCCCTGCAAGCTGCAACAAGTCAACAATAGCTTCTCCTACACTTGGTGAACACAGGCAAGATGTGCTGCTTTGTCTGCCTGGAGCTGAGCTAACACTTCAGCTCATCTCCTCCTTAAGTGAGTTTGATTAAACTCTCCTCACTTTTCCCCTCACTTGAAGGGTATAGTCATTGAAATATTTCTGCCTAATCAGTCTTGGTGTTGTTAACCTCATGTTTTCCACCTGTCTGTGGAAGGAAGAGCTGTTCAAGGTGGGAAGTCACACAGCAGCATGTAAAGCAGGAATAACAAGGGGGAAGGTTATCCATTCTTCATTCAGCATCACCATCATGGTTCAAGCAGTTCTAGCCCACATCAGGACATGAGGTGTTGACCATGCTATGCACACACATGCACATATATACACACACTGAAGCCTCTCCTGTGCACATGAGTCAGATTGGATGTGAGGAGAAATGTTTTCCCTGTGAGGGTGTTGAGGCACTGGGATATTGCCCAGGGAGGTGGTGGAGTCACCATCCCTAGAAGTATTTAAGAGGCATCTGGATCTGGCACTGGAGGCTCTGGTTTAGGGTTTAGGGGTTCCAGCAGTGACAGGTTAATGGTTGGACTCAATGATCTTAAGAGATCTCCTTCAGCCTTTATGGTTCTATGACTCTGTAGTGCCTACCATGGCAAAATCATAGCTGGTGCTAGAACATTCTGACCTTTTACATAAGCCTTAGGTGGGAGTTAGTCATTATGCATATTTTAAGCCCATTATCAAATTTAATCATTTAGCATATCCATTAGGAGCCAAGATTTTTCTTTAGATGTGGCTTAGAAGAAAGTGCCAATTTGTGCACCTGCACTGCAAGAGGAACCAAAAATGGCAGTTTCTGTGGAATTTCAGCCCATATCACTTTCGTGTGAGCAGAAAGAAACAGAACTCATAGCTGCTGCTTTTTCCCAGTCCAGCACCACCCCGTGACTGCAATGCACTTCCAGTTTGGCATCCCAATCACATTATTAATTCTGGTTCCAAATATAGATGATACATAACCTGTAAAGGCTAAAAGCTCAGGCAGAGACATCCTAAGGTGTTACAGCACAACATATGGAAACAACTCTGTTTCAACAAAACGACTGATGGCTGTAATATAGATGTACAAAAGAATGGTTTATATTCCTACACACCTGTAAGTAATACTGTAGGAATGTGATGAAGACATTAGGAAAGAGGTTTATCACTGATGGTTGGTCATCTTTTGCATTATAAAAATTTTTATTCAAAAATGTTATTTAGTTGTAATTTTCTTAGAGTCTAAATGCAGTTTCAATAAAAAAACCCTCCGTACTTACTGTTTAAAGGAACAATTGAATCTGTATTCAGATTTGGCTTTTTAACTCAAAAGAGAGCTTTAACTTATGTTGCCATGCAACCTCTTTTTGTCCTCACAGGAAACAAATCATAGAATCATAGAATCGACTGGGT